ATTATTCCTTAAAAGGATAATATCCTAAACTAAGTAGTACGTGCAAAACTTAAGGTCGGCACACTTTGCATTCTTAATTGTGTGATTTTTATTTGAAATGGTGTAGAATTTAATTCATAAAATTTCCACGTTCCAACTCAGATGAGACGGAAGAAATTATCTCGCCTCGTCTGAAGATAAATATTGCATTGTGGGAGTGCCTTATCTTATGGTTATTTCAGCCTAGTCGCCTAGTTGGAACTATGTAGTCCCTATAGTGCATGATTATCTACATGCACAGCTATACGTATTAAGTGGGGTGTCAATTTCCATCTAAAAAATTAGAAATGGAATTTGGTATATTATTTAAATGCTACTATGAGTCCAGAGGCCGCCTGGGATCAAGGCTGCAACTACATCCTCATTATTTTACATAGTCTCAACTTAAAAAGTGATAGCAGAGTAGATGACTATATTAGCTTAGTTTTAAGGAATTTTAAATTTATTCTTATTCCATTGAAAAGCCAGTTAAATTTCAAGTAGAAAACATGTATTAAACTTGAAAATATATTCCTCCTGTGACCATGAAAAATTGGTCACGAAAGAGAAAGCTCCATCAAAAATACGCACGAAATTAATGGACAAAGTGTATCATTCCCGGGTCAGAAATTTTTTTGTGACCCCGACAGTTATATGAGGCTTAGAACAGACTTTTTCCTCAATTTTAATCAATATTTGGTGGTGAAGTTGTCTGCGGTTCGAAAATTCCAACGTTAAACCTAAAGTGCAAATGAAGTCAGAAATATTGATTTTAATCCAGTTTTTCACGAATTTCGCTGTAAATGCTACTGTAGACGCCTTCACAAAGGTCGGTGGCTTTTCACCCGATATGGACTAGTTGAGGGGGTGTTCCTTCTTCACCAGGACATTTATCAAATATTTGTTTAAACTATCTCCTCTCCTTAATCAAGGAAATTATGGTGTTTTTGCTCAATTCCGCCGATTCCCACCAAAACCATGACTGGAGCCTGATAAGATAACATTTTGATCTTTATTTTGTAAGCAGCTAACCCTTAGAATATTTGACATAAAGCGTGTTAGTTTTTTTGTTGAAATATGTTTCTGTCGTAAAGAAATTATCATCGGTAAACGGGTTAGTTTTTTTGGTTTTTTCACCGTACCGTTTGGGGAGGGAGGTCGATTTTTTGACCATTGCTTAGGCTTGGGAAATCTGTAGCATGTGATGCTTTCTAATCTAAAAGATCTTCATCTTAGGGTCACTTTTCAGTGCTAATCTGATCTCTAAAGTTGAAAGGTCATTTGTGTGGCCAAAATCTCCGGCGTCAGATAGAGATTTTGTGCTATTCTGGTATTTAACGCTTCGGACATCACTGTAGTCTTTCTTGACCTTGGACCACCGAAACCTTTATACCAGAGATAGACACTGTCTCTAGGATTACTTTAATAGTTTGGGCAACCAGATCGTAGTTGTACTTGGACTGCTACACTACATCAAACATCGTGCATTTTTTTCTCGCGCAAAAAGTGAAAAATTATTGCCGCGCGCGTGTAGCTAAGCTTCTCTTACTTTTGACCTAGTGATGTCAAGTAAAAGCGGTCAACACCAATGATAGGCACTGAATGTATGCACAAACCGCAATTGACCTTTTAATTTTATGTTGACCCGTTCAAAAACTACGCTCTACTATCACTTCTTATGGTAAGACTATGTATTAGGAATTAATGTTGCAATTAACCGGAGTTGGATTTTCCCAGATCATTAGACTCTGCTTTTTGTATGGGCTTATCGGAGATAAAATATATTTACGTACATATGTTCAGTTGAAAAAGTGCTCATTTCTCTTCGTTGAGTTGCTTGATATCACCTATTGTCCCAAAAGCCAGAAATCAAGCCCCCAACGGTATGTGCAACCCTCCAGTTTCCTTTTGTCACATTTTACATTATCAAACTTGGAAAATTGAATTGTGTCCGATTTTTGGCGTCGACACCAAAAACTCAAGAATGCAAGCAAGAAAGGACAAAGGAAATATACTATAACGGGACTACTAAATTTCTCGAAATGGCAGAGCGATATGATCCCATGGGTACAGTGTACAATGGGCAAGTTGTGAATCCTCTTAAGTTGGCAAGACTTTCGGTTATAAAACTTCCGTTGCAGACACTTTTTGTGCTACAGCTAGCTCATTTGCCAGAGAAATATACATTTTTTTCCACAAAGTCAAAAATAAACTAATTATTATTATTCCCATATAGGGGTAATTACCCCATTGTTTATTGAGGTCGACACAGCTGGTATTTTTAGCATTTCATTGCTCCATATTGGCTACGATACATGTATGTGCATTACATACTCCAGAAAAACGTCTAAAGAATTTGGTAGAGCAGTTTGTATGAGAAGAACATATGTATTTAGCGAATGGAGAAAGTTAAGGATCACAGCCAGACGTATTGCATAACGTGGCAATAGAAGAACAAATGCTTAGCATTCAAAGAACATTCCTCTGTCACTTTCTTGCCGCAATCTGAGCTAGAGTCTGTCTCTTCCATTGATGCTCAAGCTACAGCTTGCCTTGAATCTGCTAAGCAATATCTTGAGTTCCATCGTCAACATCAAACAAAATGAAAAAACTATCAATCCTCCCAAAGAATCTGACGCGAGACCATTCTGAAGCACTTACATGTATTTATTCACTCCACTCCCAACATTCAGGAACAGCAAAGGGATATGGTCATTTTTATTAAGGCCCTTATTACGGAAGCTTAGAAATTGCACACAACACCCTGAGGCAGTTAATCCTATATAAGAGCAGATATCTAGATAACGTCCACTGCGTACATCTTGGTGTGATGGAGTATGAGCTTCTTCTCATCGTAAATTTTTGATCACGACCACATTCTGTGACCGTGGTCACCCGACTTATTCGCTCACTTCATTAATTTTAACAAGGAAAATCTCCTACAAACAAAACGTGTGCAAAATAATATCAGGATAGTCGTAGCTGTCCAGAGCAAATGGCAATATCACAGTGCCCCTGCAGCTTTTTGAGATAAAGGTAAGATTGCTTTACATGTTAGGCAAAATTACGAAAACATAGGTTTATAAATCCTATAAAACTCGGTTAAACCTTTAAACCTAATGTGGCATATAAATCTGTAATATCTATTCTTTGAATTTGAACAACATTTATGTACAATCACTCTGAAGTGAAAGTTCTATTGCATAGTACTTTCACCCTTTGTGCATAGGGTTGCCTTTTCGACTATCACAAGAAAATTTAATGAAGCGGAACCCTTGGTGAATATATGTATGTGGACATTTTGACAACAATAGATGGCTCATGAACAAGATAACTGATAATGCATTGCACTGAGTGAGGGTCATGAGGGTTTCATCTAATGCATTATATCTCATATTTTGCTTCAGGGTAAAGTACTTATAAGTTTCTCGTCCTCTTATATGATGAAAAATCAATATTTCTCGTCAAAATGAGCGCATGAGGTAAAGTGTGAACATTGTTTGTCAATCTGAGCGTTCAGATTTGGAGAGAGTGCTCCGATCCGTAATCCGACGCTTCCTGTCGTCAGTGAATCGTGAATTGTTGTACAAACTGACCAAGAGCTTCTGCGAATCATAATTATTAACAAGTATCATGTTCCCACGCCAGGACTGCAGATCCAAAATCTGTAATGTACCGTGAAGAATGGCATGCCTATTATTGCGTTAGAATTTGACGTGATATTCAATATTAATATATTCAGTACACTCTGATGCCAAACTAAATTTCCTGTTTCTAAGCCTGGTGTATCTCTCAGTTTTCATACTGCAATGTACACACGCACAAAGATCGGCGTAATACTAAAGCACTGAAGAACTTAATTTTATAAAAAATAGGTCAGATGTCGTTCATACGTATTAGCATGGAGTAGACTTGTCAACAAGTTTCCTCAAATTTTTCTTATTTATCGCTCGCTATTGAAAATTATTACCTACATAAATGACTTGCGTATTATGAGCTTTCTGCTAAAAATAAAACATGAAGAGGACAACTTAATTTTCATTTGAGCAAGACTAGAGCTTGACCTCTTTCTTGACTTGGATATAATAAAAGCTTATGTTATCTCCATGAAGAAAGTTATTCAATCCCTATTTTAGTGATCTCCATTTTCCTCAGTCCATGTCATTCCGTATCAACAGTTGAGTCACACATGTGCACAACGAAATCTTTCGAAATACAAACAAAGACTTGGCAGTTTTTTGTTCAATAGAAAGTAAACAAGCGTCATGTTTTGTACACTCTGAATTTTCTCCCTTCCTTTCTCCGGATATACAGGGTGACAAAAGGTAGTTAGCATCGTCATATTTTTCGGCCTGCTTGTCAGAACAGCTAGCTTGATGAAATTAAAAATACCAACAACAATACACACACTGCATTATATCCTATACATAAATACGTATGTACATATGCATTATTATGGCATATGAGATCTGAGAGCCCTTAGAAGTAGTTAGAAGTTTATTTTTAGTATTTTACTTATTCCTCTCATTCTATTGTTTATACAGCTGTGAAGAATGCCTTTTATTAATTAAGTTGAAAGCAAGTAAGTGAATAAATGAAAAAGTTCAACTAAACAACAGGTGGGATGGGATCTAGTCTCGTGAGTTAGCAGCAATCAAAAATCACATTTCCCATTTCTTCAATTCTTGTACCGTCTCTTATAATTGAATTTTATGATGATTCGTACTCTAAAAACAAGGTCGCACCAGATATTTCTATTTTAGATCTCGATGGACAAGGGAAACAAACTAAAATAAGCACATATTTACATACTTACGTAAGTATGCAAATATTTGATCATAATTCAGTATGATGTAACATTGTTCGATCACACTGCTTATGCAACCGTGCGAAACAATTTATTTACATTTTGCTAACACAATTTTAGTTGTTTGTTGTGATTTCATCGCAATCACAGATGAAACAAACTAGGATACATAGTTTATGAGTCGTTCGAACTTAACTGGACTGAATATCATAAAATTCCTAATTTATTTAAGCAAGTTATTGAGAATGTTCTATGAGTGAGTTGTTTTTATAAACTTGTGTTTGTTATAAGCAAGTAATTACTTTTGATAAATAAGGTGAAATAAGACTAGAACCTCGTTTCAAACACGTAAGAAATAATTTACGGACGCTTTGTAGTACATTTCCAGTACTATGCACATTCACAGTTCGTACGAAAATGGCCGTAATCTTTATGGTTGTATAATCAATGTTGACAAGCATGTCAGGGAGTTCCCATCGTCAAAGGCTTATCTGGGCAAGTGATTTGAAGTCACGCAATCCATGTCCTTCTCTGCTCTCGTGAACATTGATCGCGTCATGACCCGGATTAGGAGAGGTCTTGGTTTCAAATTACAACGTTACCTAAATAGATGGCATTTCGTCTATTTCATGATTGATTCACTCCTTCGGGTACGACATTGACGAGGCGACGGTAAATAAATCACACAAAATCACCATCCACCTATCAATGTATCAATAATAGTATCAACAACATGCCGACCAAATACCGCAACTGACCATTACAGCATATTTTTTCAGCCACGACGACGACATCAATTACGTCTACGCTGTACTTACTTATATTGGCTGAATGGAAGGTAGAAGTGGACTTTCAGCCTGCTTTCACTAAAAGCAAAATTGATGTCATCCTAATGTGTTTGCTTTCTCTGGCCGAGTAATATAACACGACTGTCACCTTAATTCTTTTGATGGAAACGGAAGCCCGATTCTATCGGAAAAAATTGAAGGATACTAACTGTGGACATTTCTTGGATTCGAATTGAATTATAAGATATTTAAATGAATTCTGACATCGTAGCACTAATTTACAAACCATGTTTGGTTTTCTTTCAGTGAGAAGAACGTTAATTTAACGAGTAGAAACAGTTCAAACCCAATCGTGTGGTCTCGTTAATGAATAAAATCTAATTTCATGCTGCGACCTAAGCCTTAGCTGGTACATATATCAACTAGGCATACTTATAATCACGTAGAATATAGTAGCAACCTCATTACAGAAACTACTGATATAATTGTGGACCACAATTTGTGGTCGTTTGGAAAATTTTCCATCAGTGTCTGGCAAACTACATAAAATTGATTTAATTGTTAAAACAAAAGTTTCTTATCGACTAAGGGTTCAATTTAAGTGGTGCAACTTTTTGTTCTCAAACTTTGCATGTACATGTAAAAGCTCCAAATAAGTGAGTATATTCTTTACTCACTGCCAGAAGATTGAATTAGGGCGCAGCACTTATTACTATGTTGCACAAGTTAGTGATGAAGTAAATTCGCATTCCTCGGTCGATCCTGGTAGCCTACAACGAGTCCTAATGTTTTTTCTGTGTCTCTGAAAAAATGAAACTTTGGACGAAACAATATAGTGACAAATGAACAGAAAGGATTCACAATTTCTTGTGGAATGAGGACTAGTTGCTGTATATTAAAGTATATGAATAGATACAGTTATATACACTGATTTAGTACGTCACAAATTCCCGTGAGGGAGGAGAAGATCAAATGGGGCATCTCGAAAGGACAATAAAATTGTATACCTTTGCGTGTATTTAGTTCCTGCTGTTTCTTTAATATGCTCCAATTAAACAAAATGAGCACAACTCCAACTTTTTGGTGAAAGTCGACTTCCTACTTTACGAATTCTTGACATGGCTAAAATTAGTTGGCTAAACCTGATTTGCATAGTTGTATAATCTATGTATTTATATACGCCATAAGCAAGTACGAAAAGTCATTTTGACGGGGTGACTGGGTTGAATAATTTATTCTTATTCCTGTGACTAATAAGGAATCATGGATAAGAAAGAGAAATTTCCTGTACCAAATCTGCGCCATAATTCATTCTTTTACATAAATTTATCACGACCATTTCTTTCCTGCCTGCCTGCTCAGGTACTTAAAGGTTGGTGCATTCGAGCAAAGAGAATAAATGATCTTTCTCCCTTTCTGCAAGCGTAATAAAAATGAGTGGCAGATGGTCCGAATGGATCATATCCTGCCAGCCCCAATTGACAGAATACCCAGTTACACGGAGGTTGACATTTTGGCAACCCCTCTCAACTTTGATATTGTAACCGGATCTCCATATACATACATCTAGTTCAAATAAATGACAGTACTTTAATTTCATTGGAGATTTAATAATTAAAGCACAATACATAATCGCTTGCCAGCAAAGAGTTGAGAAAATCCCAGATTGCGAGAGTCTTGGAAATAATTGTACGCTGCAGGTTTAGTTTACCATTATGAATCAATTTCCAGAATATTTGAGTCATTTTCGTACATAAAGTAGAAAAAGAACTATAATGAATGAATTTGGTTTGTAGGAGAAAATTAATAAAAGCATATGTTGATAATAAGCCTTCAAACTGATCAAACTACATTGTGGTAGCTATCATTAAGCGTAGAGCACATACATAACGCTGTCACGTCAAAAGGTAAAAATATAGCATGGATGTATGCACCTAGGCACAATTATGATGATTAAAGTAAGAGCGATTAACTGCCCTCACAAAGTTACATATTAGAACTTACTAGCACTAATTAAATGCATTGTGCCACTTACATAATACGTATTTACTTATGTAAGATCGTCTGAATTTGATCAAGCTTGTTGTGCTTGAAGACGGACAAGCCTTCTTGGGCAATCAAGTGTGTGCTGAGTTGTTTTCTCTGCGTTTTCTCGTGTCTTTATCTTAACTAGAAATCTTGAGTATTATGACTTTAACTCGAGACAGTGGCAAGTTCTTGTTGCTGTTTCCTGCTGGTCATAATTCCTTCTTCGCTGATAAGAAGCATTATTTTGTCTCCTGAGAATTACGAGGTATTACAATGTGTACATACATATAAATATGTACCACATATCAAGGTCGTATGTACAAAAATAACCGTAGAAGGTATACTAAATGTAATAAATGATAAATAACTTTGACCATGTTTTGATTTCAAGATCTTTTGTAATCGACTGAAGAAGCCTGTAAAGTGTAGGTCTAAGCTAGCAATTATTAAAATAAATCAAGTTATTATACACCAATTTATACACCAATTAGAAAAATGGTTGTTAATAAATAATTTTGCTTGTAGAATTGGTGTGCTATTGCTGAACAATATCCAACTTTTTAATTAAATTAGAATCCCAAAGGAGAAATAAAAAAGGATGAATACATACATAAACTGCGATTTCATTTCAAAATTATTTGTTCGAATGAATACATTTTCCACTGGTTAAGAACAATAAAAGCTTCGGTTTTTCCTCCTCTAACTTCCTTACGTATGAACTTGGCAAGGTTTTATTTTGCGTTTCTCCTTGACCGACAAAGCTTGAAATTGAGTTGGAACCAAGTACAAAATTTGTTTCAGAAACTTGCTTTATATTTTCCAGTTATTTGAATAAATGTGTATTTTTATTGGGACCAGGAGATAAAAGGGAATAAATCAAAGGAATTTGTACGGGCAGTGGTAGAAAATATTCAAAATTTCCAAAGATTTATCGACTCCTCCATATAAAGAAATGGCAGCAATCCAATTTAGCCTGGCCATCACATCCACTTTCTCCCTCCTTCCAACGCTCCCTTTTGTCTCACTCCCACTCACAAATTTCCACAAAATGCGAACTTTCTCTTCTTCAAACCCTGTTTACATCCTGTCTTAATGCAACAATACAAGACTGGAAGATAAAGGGAGACAACTTCCTCCTCGCATTTGTGCACGGACGTACTATTCACGAAATCATGTAGGATGAAAAAGAGGTTTGGATGGGCCTCACTCATATACGTCCACTAAGAAGCTATCTTCACATTGTCAAACTTGCCTTTTTACATTTGAATAATTTTACAGTCAAATTTAGCATCTCGACAAATAAATTCACATAATAAATTGCATTTCATTTCATTTCACTCAACAGTTGACAGGACAAAATATTTTCCATAAAATTCAAGGTGACTTGTTACGTCTATTGCAATTCTGGACACACATCAAGTTTTTAATGGAATATCACTGTTAGCAATGACAAGCTAATCAATTCAGGATGGTCAAGAGGTAAGGCATATGTTACTAAAAAGTATGCGAGATATCCAGTCTAGTTGCTAGCAGGAGAACTGAACATACATACAGCAACGTAGTTTTAAACTAAAAAAAGTTTTCTTTTACTGAGTAAATTGATATTGAAATAGTAAGAAACTGAATTTAATATAACGTGACTATTACGTGCAACGTGACTATTCGTATAAGACATTCATGTTTTTGCTGAGTTTCAGGGTATGAATGATCTTCTAAGTGTAACCCCAAGTGAATAATCATTATTATTTAATATCTTCAAATTTGGATTAATATTTCCCCTCTACCCACCCAACCTATTTATAAAAGGTGTTCAGTAAATATGCACGAGGACGTATGTATGTATGCATACCAGAGTAACGAATAACATATACATTTGTATGCTCTCATTTTTTTAGCTTAAAAATAAAGATCTGGCCTTCAGAAATACCAAGCTTCGTAGAATGATTTATAAAAGTTTCCTAAAAGGCAGAAAGAAGCCAAGGTCCCAGCCGCAGAAGTTCAAGATTATTAGAGGTTGGATGAAGCAGATCTCCCCTTCTCTGTGCTGAGTGTTCCAAGAAGTGATGACTTGGAATTATCGCAATCACAAAAGAATGAACCACTTCGTTGACGCATTTTCGAATAGACGTCGATTCTCGAAACCGTACGCGTGTAGCTAAAAAAACAGAAATGGAAAACACGTCTGTGTAAAAACTCTTTTGTAGCATATTGCTTGATCTATTTCTGAAAAATTGCTCCGTTTTCATGAACATTTTCATCAATTCACTTGCATAATCGTAGCAGGATGAAGTGATATAATAATTTATTTATATGTAATAATATAGTAATTTACTTCTTCCCTTTCGTGATGAGTTAGTATTATTTAGGATGCAGCTGGAACTTGCCAGACCTATAGACTGCTAACAATAAGTTTGAGCGACGTGGTTGTGGTTATGCCAACAACCAGAACAAGTTATACAATGATCGATAAGTAGGTTTGAGTGGCTCCTTAACAGCCAGAAGCAATTTGCAAAAATTCTTTAAACCGGTTCAACAACTTTGCTTGGATAATTTTGCACGATAAGACTGCAGACCATTTACATTGGAGATGATTTGATTTATTCTATTCAGCCTGGTGCATTGGCATTGTGCATTTATTTATATCGAGATACAAGTTAAACCTTTCGGAAGAATAAGCTAAAATACTATAAATTTTAGTCTTGATTACTGCCAAATTTATATCTACACACAATCCTAGTCACAGTACACCCGTACATTCTTTGTAAAACAAAGTGTATGTAGATAACAATGGGAAAACAAATTTGAAAAGTTGTGATGGTCGTGTACAAGACTTTGTGCTTCTGTCCGTATCGTAAAATCTGAAACCAGATAGGCGATTGCTCGGTTGCGAATAAACTTTATTCCCTGAACTATTTAATTTCGAAATTTCAAGATGTGGGGCCAACATCAATAGATTTTAAGATTGTGAACCATAAGCAAATCAAAATACCAAATAAAATACAAGCAAAATTTGGGACAGGTAGGATTTTTCCAATCAGACTTTGCATACCAAGTATGTATGTATTTATTAAATACCGTACTGAGAAAAACATCAATTTATGCACAGCTTTAAGTACTTTTGACATGTAGGCTAGAGTAAAGGTTCTCCCGTGATTTTCATAAGCTTGTCCATTTAATTCTCCCCACCCCAGTGGAAGAAATGCATTTGTTCATCCCCTGGGAAAATGCGTCACAACAGCTAGTGTTACATATGTATGTATGTAACTGCTGTTATGTAACGAGGGTAAAACTTGTTACATTTTCGTGTAGGATTTAAGTTTGATGACAAAGACAAGACGACATAACGGTGTGGAAGCTTACAACTAATCCCGCTCAAGAATAAAATGACACTTAAGTTGATCCATTTTCATGTTTCCAATAAATAAGAAGGCTTAGATCTGCGTAGACATAAACAACAGAATGAAATTAAGTGACAGCCGGATGACTGATGATCACCTCTTCACATCTCCTCCTCAAGATTATTTTACGTCTATCCACCCAAACCAACCAAAAAGTAGTGGACCAGAAATCCAACTATTCTCAAGGACCAAAATATCTCATTCTAGGATCAACCTATCACCTTCATTCGGCAGCAGCAGCAGCTTTCACTCTGCTCCTCCATCACCAACTTGAGCTAAACTTCAAACTTTACCAGCATCTTCCTTGTCAGATTTTTAACATTATTTAACATGTCAATGACGTAGTGAGACGGATGTGCATAATGTGACTTAAGTCCTTTAAATCTGGATCCCATCAAAAAGTGATGGGCAGATAAAGACGAGCACCAGAACGAGTATACCCAAGTAAGTGCGCATATGTACATATTCACAGATATGTACAGTATATGCCAATGGTGAAAAAGTGTAACTTTCTCTTCATCATCACTCGAGATTGATGCGTATGTTCTAACGCTGAAACCAAATTAGAGAGAAAATTAGAGATTTTATGGCTAGGCTACCCTCAACTTAATTATGACTCTACATTTGGGGGCTTGGTCCTAATACCAGCCAAAACTTGTAGAAATTCAGACAAATGACAAACTAATTGGAAAACCTCAGATTGAAGTAAATCTGGTCTCTTATTAGCGTCAATTAGCATCGAGTCTCGGACTTATTGACAAATATGCTCTTCTTCCGCATCCCATTATCAGTGTCATTGCATTGCATAGAATGACTGATGATGCTCACCCTAGCAAAACCATCAGTAGACAAATTCTCCACTCTTCCCTTCCTTCACTAAGGAACATCAAGAATATTTCAAAACGACACTGTGAATCAAATTCATTGCCCTCGGCGACGCCGCAACATTTTGTGGCATGATTAGCCCTTTTTGTTTTGATCTTAATAATTTGCAACATATTGTACCGTGCTAATGATTACATAATTGATCATCTCAGCGTTGTGATTATACGCATATTATGAGTAATACCACAGAACAACACACGACCAATGTATGGACAATAGGAATTCACCAAAATAGAAATGAGGGAGAGACTTGCCTATGATAAGAGTCGTGAGGTCGGCGCAGGCCAAGTTAAACAGATAGTAATTTGTGGCCGTGTGCATCCAATTGTTGGTGATTATTACAACCATCGTAGTGACGTTCCCGAAAACTCCGGTGAGAAGAATGAGGGAGTAAATTATGGACATGGGGATGAGACTGGTCAAAGGAAGGGAACGAGGCCCGAGATAGATTTCCAAATATTTGTCCACATCAAATTCCGTGTCGTTCCACCCCATGCTAAAATTCGTTCCAGGATTTACGGGCACTACAACGGGCTCCATTTTGCCAATCCCACCAACACTTTATTTAGGTGATTTTTAATGTAATATCCTCAGGACAGTGCCATTTTTATTGGCAAATAAGTAACTCAGCTTTACAGTTTAATTTGTGATTAATAAAAATAATTCACATGTTTCAATGACTTGTCACTCTTTTAATACGATTTTTTGTCATTTCACATTTTTTATGCAAACTATATCGGACTGGGACGACTTTGTTTTGTTTCTTATGTTTTATTTGTCCAATATGTAAAATAATGATTTTGATATTTCAGGTCAATTCAATTTATACCGAATAGCATGCAAATTTTGCTATAGCAGTTGTAAAATTGCTTTAACACGGGTGGATTTGCACAAAGTGAAATTGTGGGGCGGAGTGAGAACTGGATTTGCAAAGAACTTCTTCTATTCAGCACTTGAGCAGACTTGGAACTGAAGTTGGCAAATAGATCCGAGTTGGTTGAGAACGATATCTCAACAAACCTGCAAACCAGCCCAGCCAACCAGCCAACCTTACTGACTCACCCGGAGCCGAAGGATGATAAACTTCAACCTCGCAAAACCAACCTCGTTTTACACATTTTATGCCGTAAAGAGAAATTGCGTTGGTCCAGTCGCAAATAAGAAAACTAAACCACTACAAAATATATAACAGTCAAAAATATTAAAACGTGGTGATACCCATAACAAACCGCCCATGAGGTGCACACATGCATAAGTACAAACAGTTCTGGGAATAACTGTTGGGGCTACATCAACATTTCTTGTTCTGGAAGAGACACGAGAACAAGAACGAGAACAATTTTCTGCACAAGTGACTTCTTAGATGGCCTTTTATAAATAAAAGTGGGCGGAGGTCAGTGTGGTCAAACTGACAGAAGATGAGCCGTTTCATAAACCATGCTCTTTACATAAGTATTGGTTGGTACTGAAATTTGATGCTTCGAGACATGAAAGGAACGAGGTTCGATTTATGTCAGAATCGTTTCACTAAACCCAAAATGGACGTTGACATTTTTCAGCAATCCTGAAACGTATATCGTATCGTGCATATAAATAATCGAATGGTATTGAATTTTATTTGTAAATACTATATTTAACTTGAGCAATATGTAGCTCCCTAGTTTTTTTTGGACTTAAGTGTGGGTGGATCAGCACTGATGACGATGGCTACAAAAATGTCCGGCATCCGATTATTTAGATCAGCAGCTAAACATAGTTAACAAAATCAAATTAGAACTAAATTGAGTTTAGTACTGTGTTTCTTTGTCGAGGGAGTCGAGAATATGAAGATTAATGAGAGCCAATTCACTTAGTTATTACGAGAAGAAGCACCCACCATTAGTTTTCAGGAGCATGTGGATGTGTAGTAAGCAAGTATGTAAGTGGTTTAACCTCTGACATTGGCGTTCTTCCAGCAAAACGTTAATAACTTAATTGATTTGATTAAAACGCTGTTAACAACCACCAAAATCATGGTCAATTATTTAAATGAACAATTAATTTTTGCATCAAATAAGGTGTGCTGACTGATCAATAGACACTGGGCACATAGTACTGACGTGAACGCAACTTGATGCCATTAATTTCATGGGAGGCACATATATGGGAGAATACATCTAGAGATCAAGTAGGCGCCTCGTTCACAGCCAAAAGTTCCTTTCTTGGAGGATAACCAAAATCCAACTAATCATAATTTACGTTATGTCTGGAGATGTTCTTAATTTGTTGAAGTAATTTATTCACAAGCGCTCTCTCACTCCTTCAGCAACTCCTTATCCAGTAATGCACCACGAACAAAGGACGAAAGGATTCCACAAACACAGCAAATTTCCCATTTTCACCATAAATTAGTGTCGAGCGGACCATTATTATGGCGATGGAATTTGTTTGGGAGGCTCATGATTCTTGTTTTTGCCACGATAATGCATGCTTTTCCTCTCCTTTGTTTAGTGTAATACACAATGCATACCATTAAGAAATTATGTTTTGTTATTAGAAAGGTAAGGAATTATAGTAGAATTTAAAAGGATAAGGTTCCCAAAAACAGAACTTGTCGGGGATTTTCTGATGCGTAAATTGGTCTCTGAACTGGATAGTTTTCATGATACACATTTGTACATACACATGACGAATTTCTTGAGGATTAACTGGATAGCATTTAACTAAACTATGTAACATAATTAAATTGCGTAATCTAATTAAACGCATAAATATTTAGTACGGTTTGCAGGCAAAGGATGGAAGGTTTAAAATGATAGAGCTTTGATTTGACTTTTAAGATAAGAATCTGTACATAAATAAGTCAGATCGTGCACTAATTATTACTGCGTGACATTTCCGCTCCTATTTCAGCTCTCTTACCGCTAAAGTATATGTACATAGTGGAGACAAAAGTGTTGTGGAACACGACGGAAGATTACAAGGGGAATTTATATGGGGCCCAATCTATATGCAAATTCTAATGGAAATTCGGAAATTGGTGCAGCATCAACAGGAGGAGGTCGGAGGGAGGTGGCTGCTGCCGCCGCCGCCGGGAGCGTATCATCGCCTAAATTAAACACCGGTGACGAGTTCCAGTTGGTAAACATGTAGTAGAACAAATCCTCGCGATTTTTTATGGGTGCTATAACTTTGCTTTGCTCTCGCAATGTTTCTGGTTTCTCATAAATGTTACTCCTACAACAATTCGCTGCTGAAGGCTTACGAGCTTATTTTTAATTAATGCATTTGATACCTTTTCTCAGCACAAAAACAGCGCGTGGAAATTGAACGAAAAAAGGAGATAGGGGAGGATAGCTCAAGGAAGCGTGACAGTGCCCTTCAGAGAAGGAGCTTGTACATTTTATGTGTGTGCATTGCATGTTGGTTCTGTTGTTGCTTAGTTTAAACTCGAGTTAACGGAGAAGGTCACGCTAAATCCATTTTCACACTCATTCCATCGACTAATTGCTGCTTGTGATCGTTTAATAACTCAACCGCAGCAGATTGCTTCGGCATGCATGCATCTGTACTCCAGGATGACGAACTCAACAGATATTGTCATTTATTGAGCAGTTTGAAAACTTTTTGAACGTTGTAAATCAATGTAACTGTCATTTTGCAATCCACTTATTGCGATGCGAGACATGATTTATATGTGATGTATTTATTCCAGACATTCCAGACATGGACTGCCATATATTTATTACGAATTCCACATATCCCTTGATGTTGGAACATTTCAAAAAATCACCTGCATAATGCATGTTCTCAAATTACTCTGCCCTCTTGCACCGTGATTCCATACACTACGCAGCATTCCAGGCGTTGATGATCATCCATCTGATGAATTGTGCAATGGCTAACTTTTGAGACTCAGGGTTCCGGAAGGAATTGCGATTATCAAACCCATTTTAGTCCGCTGTTGTCGTTGGGGAGAGAAAAGAATGTGCCGCAATTCAGCCAGGGCAGCAACAGCGGCTACCAACCACCAACCAACCACTCTGACTTTATGCTGTGCAGACACTTACCAACCAAAAGTGGATGATATAGAATTGCAATAAATAATTAGAAATTATGGGAAATTTCCTTCGTCTTTCTGGGGCAACATAGATAAAGCTTTTGTACTCTCCAGCAGCACTCCACAAAATATTTACGCAGAATGATCATGGACTCAACTCGACTGAAGTCTTCTTAACGACCTATGCCGTCTCGTACCCACGATCCCGAAGTTTAGAAGTTGGAGTGTTTTTTATGTGAACCGCCCATTTTATTATAATTATATGCATATTTCGATACACTATTAAAATACACACCAATAAGATTATACAAATAAAATAAAGTAAAAAAAAAACACAAATGTGAAGAATTTTTGGCTACGTTGGAGCTACTATAAGCATCTCACATCTTGCGAGAGAAAGTAATTTCACGGCACTTTCGCAAGTCAGGAGATACATAGCACAGACTACGCAGAGTCAATAAATACCATCTTGCTAGGAACCGTTCCTCCCTATCTTGGAAGCATTTTCCACTACAACAAACGATAAAAGGTCACACGGGTCTGATTCTTCGGGCAAATAAGATGCAGACGAATTTTCAGACCAAAGTTCAGGCACATCTTTAAAACATGTAGACATGGGGAAGGTAGGTGAACACTGAGGTGTAGGAAAGTATATTATGCGAGGGAGGATGAAGACCTCAGTTTACTGAATTCCCTCAATGAAATAAACGTCAACAACTTCATCTACTTTCATCTATTCTCTTGCCTTTTGTACAAAGCCGAAAAACAGGCCGTAACCAAAACTAACAATCCAACTACCTGAACAGCACACTCAACTTTAATTAGACGGAGAAAACGCCATAAAATTGTTACATCAAGGGTTTGCCGGCCAACTCACCTTGCATAATTTGGATACAAATAGACAGCAAGTTACCATCATAAGAAGAATAGATACGTATGTGTATGTGTTTATATAGGATTGAGTAGCAATTTTCGGCACGCATTCATAAAACACAACATAACAAAGCACTTGGGCCGTCGTTGTCTTCATTTCTTCAGTAGCTATTATATATTCACAAGTTATTTTCAGCAAATTAGTGGCTCAATGAAGCTCAAAATAGTTTCTATCGGTTCACACGTCAGCCATAAGAACCCTGACGGCTCAGCCGGAGGAGACAATTGGAGAGATTGGAAAAATGCATAACTTATCGAAGCTGACTTTGGTGAGTGTGGAAATTTATTGTGCAAGGCGAGTTGTGAGCAGGGTAGAAATTAGATCATTCTCATTCAAATTCTTGAGACGGTCTCATCTGGCTCTGCAGCCATGTAGAGGCCAGCCCTCTCTTTCCGGGTCAAGTCAAAGGGCAGGCACACTATCCGACATATTAGACAATGTTCCAAAGGGACTTATCGTGTCCGTTGTTCTTTCTCCACGCTGAGAAATAGAAACTGAACTGAGGAGGAGCGGCAGGAAGAAAGGAACGCGTCCGAGTGTTCGTTCATGAGGGAAAGTGGAGCATAATCATTGTGCCGTTCTCGTGACAAGTGGTGGAGTCGACTCGAAGCAGCTGAAGGGATAATTTGCACAGCTCATTACACATTCCGTGCTAGCTTATACTTTCTCCTTTGGGGCGCAACAAAGTCAAAGTTTTTTCAGCAAACTATTTCGAGCTCATTTTTACTCCAAGTCAGATTCAAACACATTCAACCCCGACCAACCAACCCACTAGCCAACCTGATCTGCGTATGTACTTGTGTACGTATGTAGCTACAAACTAATGTAGCTATACAAATGTCAGAATAATACACTGTATACGATGACAACGAACCATCTTCCTTCTCATTCTCATTCAATTTGACGACTATGGAACTGAGACGACTGGGATGAAAAGTACTCGGTGAAAATTTGAGAAGCCTAATGCCGTGCCTCTCTACGAGAATATTGTTGATGGTAGGGAATTCTGGGTGAAAGTGCTAATATGGAAATATGAGATGCGTCTGATCAAAATAAAATCCAATGACAATGAAACGACAAGAGACAGTTATGCCATTCTTCCAACCCAGTGAATTGGTTGGAGCTTGAAACCCATGCCCAATGTCTGCACGGAGAAAGTGTGAGTGGAGTGTGGACTTGAGCTCCTTTCGACTTCAAGTTACTCAAAACCAACGAGTAAATTGACAGGATGGAAATGACATTCTCCTCTGATTTCACTATATCTCAGACGACGACAGACAAGCATTATTACTAGCAAGCTTCATAATTGATACCCCTTTGATCCATATTCTTCTTTTAACTGAAACATATAAAAATTCAAAAGAACGCAAAGAAATACAAAAATTTGGAGCATCGTGTTGTTGATAAAAAATACGCATGTAATATGAATTCTAGTTTCTACGAAATATTCGATTGGAGAAATTCAAGAAATTTAGTCTATTTCCACTTTAAATCAACACTTAAAGCTTATTGATATATAAAAAGAGATGCACAATGTATCAATAAAATGCCCTCTAAAGCTCAAATTTCATAGACAATTACCAGTACTTGAGAATTTCTAGACACAACAACTCTGCTGGCACGTTACAACCACTTCTGCTCATGTTAATTCCCATCTTACGAATGAATAAAACAACCTTCGCTCCTCCGACGCTCTCCTCCTACTTAAGTCCTCGGCTTTAAGAAAATATCAGAATAATTTTTATGGTAACCTTCGTATTTGCCTCAAGAAGCTGTATTATTACAGATTCAATATAGAAAGAAAAGTTTGAGAGTGGCTTTCAGAAGCTCAAGAATAACAAACATTGGCTTCCCTCCGTCAAAATTCATTATTTTCAAAAGCTAACATGTTGCAACCTATTTGAGCCTGTTGCAAAATTTATATTTAACCGTCAAAGTTTCCTTTGAGCTGACTTGATGCACAATTTTAAGTTTTTATTATTTGACGGATGAGCAATATTGAATGAGGAAAGAAGATATGAGCTAAAACGTAGAACAGGAAATGAAATAAAATGAGATACTTGAACATACATTACCTATGCATCCAATTAGATTTCTTTCTCCAGCACTTGGTCCCTACTATCCGGCGTATGATAAGCAGTTTACTCTCATCATTAAATATTGCATGACATGAACTTCACCTTGAAATGATAATACAGATCCTTTAACCGTACCATGGATAATAACAATCTTGCCGACAGAGCAGGATATAAAAGAGTCCGTCTTATATACAATCCGTAGATACGTAAGTAATGATTTCATTCCAGCAAATTCAAATAAGTAGGAAATAACGTATTTAATTACATTTGGCTATACAGAGCATACCACAAAATAAAATACGTACATGATCCGTGCGTCAACGTGGTAGAGAAAGCAGAGGAGAAAGTTGAGACAGATCAAAACCTTCTTTCCACTGTCAACGTCCCCTCCTGGCGAGGAACCCGGATTCCGGGTATTTGAACCACCCTATGATCCCACAAGTACGAAATTCGTTGCTCAGAGGACTCTTTCTCCGCCAGAGCTTCGCAACGCCCGGTATCATTCCGTCTCGTGTTTTGTGAAAAGATGTCTCAAGATTCACTTGTACAACTCACGAAATATCACTTGTAATCTAATTTTGTTTGTTTATAGAACTTTCTCTGATCTCTTACAATGAGGAGGTGTGAGGTGGTTATCGCCGATAACCACCGGACTAATTTTAAATTGTTCACGCTCAAAAATAAGTGGACCCGTATTTTTTAGTTTTCCTGAATGGGCATGTTTACGCCCTTGGCGGAATTTTCAAAAAAAATTTCAGCCAAAATCCTGATTTTTAAAAACGCTGTAACTTTTCGAATTTTAGCCCGATTTCAAAAATTGAATACAATTTGTGTTCAGAATTACTTCCCTGAAAATATAAAATTTCATTTTCAAAAATTTTTTAAATTTAATATTTTCATGCCATTTCTGAGTTTTTAGAAATGAAAAAAACGATTTTTTGAAAATTAAAAAATTTTTGAAAATGAAATTTTATATTTTCAGGGAAGTAATTCTGAACACAAATTGTATTCAATTTTTGAAATCGGGCTAAAATTCGAAAAGTTACAGCGTTTTTAAAAATCATGATTTTGGCTGAAATTTTTTTTGAAAATTCCGCCACGGGCGTAAATATGCCCATTCAAGAAAACGAAAAAATACGGGTGGGCTTATTTCTGTGCCTGAACAATTTAAAATTAGTCCGGTCCACATTGGCGATAACCACCTGACACCTCTCCATTGTTAGAACGGCCTCCAACAAGACCATAAATACTTTCACTCTCAAATTGAACTTGCTCGAGCTAAAAATACTGAAAATTCTTAAAATAACCAATTAACAATAATAGTGTGATAAAATGATGCATATAGAAGTATGTACATATGTTATATAATAAAAATGGAGAGTTAATTTTGACAGTTTACAACAGTTTTCATAATTTAACTCTGAAAGTATTAACAATATTTTGATTAAGCAAGCGGCAATTTTGTTAATTTTAAAATGTAACAAGCCAAATGTGAATGATACAGTTAGTTACAGAACTAGAATGAATTAAAGCAGCGGCTATTTTGGTCCCTCTTTTCGCAAAGTTTGTTTCGTGTGTCTTCCAACTAGTTAATCTACGAACTAGATTGACTTTTCTCAGTCAGTTCCGAGCTAAATTCTCTTTATTTATGCATCAAATCAAAAGACAACAAACGGAAAAGTTGTCAAAGTAGGAGAAATTCCACTGAGTTCCTTTTCTGACCTATTTTGTCAACATACGAAAGTAGGTATACGAAAGATGCAAATTGAGAACCTAGCAAATATTGACGTGACAAAATTAGACTCAAGAAACGACGGTGGAGTTCTCATATGCACCAAACTCTGAATAGTATTCCCTTAAACTTTTGGTTGTCGCATGTCCACAATTCGATACAGTATGTGCAACATTGTGGGGAACGAATGGTGGAAATGTGGAGAAAGCGAACCCAGCAGGTCGAGAATTGCTGACATCTTTCACGTAGAAGCAATAATATTTTAAATAAAAAGACTTCCCAGTGAGATACATAACTTGTTTTTTCTTCCATTTTTTTACTAAAATTTGTTCTAGTCCCCAGGTTATAAGCAGCTCCTGAAGTTTGTCGGCTATTTTCCTACAAGATGCTCTGCATTTCAAAACTTGTCCTAGAACTTATGATCCTAGTTTATTGGGGGGAAAAGTTATTCAAATCAATGCAATACAATCCTGAATTCTGATTTCGATATTGATACGCAAAAGGAAAGCAAAATATCCTTTGTAGCCC